AAAAAAAAAAAAAATAAAAATAAAAAAATAAAAATAAAAAAATACCGCGACATTTACAGTGAAACAAAAAAGTTGCCAACGACGTTGACGTTTGTATTAGTCCTGATGATCCTTTGTTTCCCCCTAATTGCCAGGTCGTAAACTATGTACTGCTATTTGCCACTGGTGATACTAGTAAGCAAAGTGAAAAACTTTTTTCTGTTGTTGTTCCGAAGGGAAAATGCTTCATAACAGTTTAGCTACACGTAGCAATTGGACTTTTATGGCACCCTTTTCGGACAAGCGCACAACTATTACAGTGCAATAGCAACAAACCAAAGGGAACAAAGCAAAAAACGAAACTGAATTTTACTGACATTGAACACGTCGTAGCTAGATTTGGAATACCTGTAGCAACAGGATAGTGCTTCCAAAACTGCACATACTTATTGTGTTTGTTTTTTCGTTTGTTTGTTAGCGTGTGTCTGAGTGCGTTGAAGTTTCCAAGTTTAAACTTTTTACCATCAAACATACCGGAAACTCCTTGCACACTACTGTAAAACGCCAAGGATGATATCGACGAGAGTAAACACTTGACGAGGTGATATCAACGAAGAAATACGGTTACAGAGAACCGCAGAATTTATAGCTCAAACGACTCCGCAAATGCTTAGCCTCCTTGTTGGCTTTATTCCATCAGAAAAATTCTGTTCAATTCTCTGTGATCCCTGGTGAACCCGAAAATTTCTGCGTGGGTTACTCGGTGTTACTTTTTCTACCGCGTATTTTGATTGAGTATTCCGGTTTTTAGAAGGTGCCGGCTGTTTACTTTTTTAAGATATATTTTTCCCATTGCTTACTTGCATAATCTTTGGGGGAGAGTGGTTCTTATCGTTGACTGCTCATTGTTAATTTGTTGTCGAAAAGGTCTGGCAGTCAAGGTGAAACGGCTTTGGTAATAATTTTTATTGACGGGGATGTATTTTAGAAAGGATCAATGATGAAAGTAAATAAAGAAATGTTTCAGTTGTAACGCGAGGAAGGGGAGATCCCTAAAAAACTGATGACTTCAGTCAGCTCGCACTTTTCAACTACCCGTAAAAAACTGTGATTGTTTGACTAATTGGCTTTTTAATGAAAGGCAAAAGGCGACTGATTCTCTCATGAAGACAGTTAAGTTTTTAACATCTACACCAAATTAGGAACAGAAAGAATTTGTTGAACTGATCTGTACTGCTGTTTGTTGGTTGTTGTAAATCCGTCGATTACAAATCAGATGGATTACGAAGTATGAAAAAAATATCAATAAAACATTAATGGCGTCGCCGGAAAAAGTGGGATTCTGTTAAATATCAAATATTCTAGAGTTGATAACTTGCGAAAAAAAAACCTGTGTTGAGCTATTAATTTTTATTTTGGTCAGTAAATTAATTTACATTCCCAGTTAATCATAGCTGAAGATCATTTAGAGGAATTTTTCTAGACAGTGCTTTAACCAATAAACTTTTCTAAAAAGGCAAGATTCTGGAAGATGGGCTCATAGCTGTTAAAAAGACCTCTTGGATGATTAAAGAATGAAAGCACTGGATGAGGCTATCCCATGCTGAACTGTTTAGGAGTTAGGGTTTCTAGACAGCTTTTCAGGTTACCTCGTCTGAAAAGGCTTTATATGTGGCGCTTACTCAAGTGAATTGAAGGTTCGAAGGTTGTTGCTGTTAACCTGTTTCCTTAAAAAAAAGAAAATTATTTTCTGGATAACATTTGTGCTGTTCCATTGAAAAAGAATTTGCATAGTAATTTTGAAGTTCGTCCGGCTGAGAACAATTGAAATGGGGGATTACGACAAATTACATTACCAAACCTTTATCAGGAGGAGATTATCGCCGCTGTTGGATGGTTCCTGGAGGTAATACTAATAAGTGTTTTTGAGTTTAAATGATAATATTTTAATTACGACGTGGTGTTCAAGGCTGATAGCAATACACTGTGGTGTTTTTCAGTAACAGTGATCGACCAGTTGAGTCAGGTAATGTTGCTTGACAACGTCAATTTAAAAATTCTTGAATGGTTGGAGAATAAGGCTTTTACTCGAATCTCTCGGCTTCTGCAGGACTTTAAGGGACGTTGCATAAATGACGGATACATATAGTTTGGAGAGTCGTTTATTAAAAAGATTTTGGTTGAAAATTTTTTGTGCTGGTTAAACAGCAGATAAAATAGTTTTTAAATGGATCGTTTTTATTCAGGTTTGTAGGAGCGTGACCATTGTACGGCTTCTCCACAAACGTGACAATTAGAAAATTTTTTAAAAGAAGTGGATCTTGTTGAAATTCTTTAGGGCAATGGGCTACTCTTCTTCTAAAGGATGTACTAATCTTCTTAACACTGCATGATGGCTTTGAACTAGCTCTAGAGTAGTAATTAAGTTCAAAGCAGAAGTAGCTCTAATTACAGTACTGACGAGAAATTGGAATTTTTTGTAAACTATTTTGGAAATTTCTTTTTTTGTTTTGACTGAGTTTGAAAAATAACTAATTAATAATGTCGAAGCGAAAACCGTATCTTCTGTGATGGCTTGAGTTCTTACCTCCATTTATGGTCTGGTTGCACTCTCTCGTCTGGCACGCATTGCAGTCTTATTCAATAAGTAGATTGATCTTATAAAAATAAGTAGGTTAAAATGAGTGGGCTTGTCGAGTAGTTGCTGATGTATTTAAATTTAGCCCCTAGAATTCTTATAGTATTTTACAAAAAAACTGTTTGTGCTGAAAAAGATGACAATCTAGAGAAAATAAAAATATGAATTAAAACGCGCTTAATCACGCTTGCATAAGACTACATCAGAAGGCCTGCGATAGCTGTCAGAAATCACGACAACGTAAAACTGTCAAGAAAGTATAAATTAAAAATTATTACCCCTGTAGTGTACATTGTTGTTAGTATGTTTTGTGTTCTAATAAGTGCTTTTTGATAAGAAAGTTTAATGTTGAGCTACACCGTGACCTTCCAAAATAAGCTTCACTGCTCAATAAACCTCTTGTGTTTTTCCAGAAAGTTGCACTTCTTAGAGTAGAGGCATATTGCGCAAGAACCAACAAAAATACTTTCAAAAATTTATTAATTCTGAGTTTTAAAATGCTTTTGTAAAAAAACTGTAAAATCTGT